AAACTTCCAATGATAAAGCTTACTTGTATACATAGAAATATATGTTGAAAATAACAGGACCCAATGAACTGTTATAATTTGTATCTTCTAGTCTGACACTGATGCTGGTTGCTTACATTTTACAATACTAATGCAAAGATAAAATGAATGACAAAGCAAAACAACAGCCATATTACATAAATGAAAGATATGAAACAATAAATTTATTTTAATTGTGACAAGTATCTATTAAATAATACTTTTTTTTTTCTAATATTATTAACGTACCTGTACTTCTGGCAATAACAAATATTAGAAATTCATATTCTTTCTACAGTCAATAAATTATTGACTTTGAAAAGTTTCATATTACTAAGTCATGCATAACTTTATATGTTAGATAATACACATAGATTTTGTATATTAACGTAAAAATAAAAAAAAAAAAATAAAAAAAAAAAAAAAGAAGAATTGTACATACATAGCAACTTACAATAATATAACAGATGTCAATATTTCGACATGCCTACTATATATAATTAACTGATAACACATACTTCTGATTATTTATATTTACGTATATATACTTACCACTATCAACGCTAGTGAATGGTCCATGAGTAATCACAAATGTGTCAAATTCAATAAGGGTTTGAACTTTTAAATACATCTTAGGAATTTCTGCTTCTATACTATCATCGTGTGGATCATCTTCAATGGAACTATGTTTTACTACTGCAAGATAAAATGAACATTCAATTTCACATGGAGAATTTTCTTTTTCCTTGAATGCCACAATCTAAAATAAAATAATAAACATTAAATATTCCTGTTGCTTTAAATTATGCTATTAGAGATGATATTTCGTATATACCAAAATAACTGACGGATGCCTATGTAATTGAACAAACATGCGATGTCTACTAATTTTTGACATTGGATGTTCTGGATGATGTAAAACTGGTAAACGTTCATAAGATGTGGCAGGTAAATGTTGTAATGTTTTTTCACATCTTCTTTGTGTAATCCAAAATCTATAATAGCAAAGTTTGTAATATATAAACTTGATACTTTCTTTTGAAGAAATATGATATCAATTAATATTAACAGAATAATCCATAAAACTTTACCTTAATTCTGATATAAGTGTAGTAAGTCTAGAATGATCACCATTCAATGCAGCAGTTAATTCAGGCACTAAAGGAGCATCATATTGTGGTACATGACATTGAAGCATCCCTGTATGAGTATCTACTGTAACTAAGAGAAGCTCTGCTCTTAAACACGGCTGTAATACTGGAACTGATAAAATAGCTGGAGATCCTGCTAATGTACCTATAATGAAGCATTATTTATGTGAAAAAAAAATCAGTATTTTTTCCCCCTCCGTATATACTTACATTCAACATCTTTCAATATTGCTTGCAACTCTTGTTTTAATTCAGAAAGGCGACTTCTTGTTCGTATATAAATAGTATGCACAAGTAAACACTCCATTGATAATTGATCTGATCTTATAGCCCTATCTGCTATTTCACTTTCCTAATTAATCATAAAGAATACATAAAATAAAGCAATTATAATAATTTGTACAATAAGAAATAATTGTTTAATTCCAACCTTGCTACCTAATGATGGTACATGTACTACAGCAAGAGGTCTTGCAGGATCATGTTGATCAACTTGTACAGTTAATCTATATCCAAGTTCTGATCTAGGATCTTTACTAGTTAATTCTCTGAAATTTATTATTATATATATATATATATATATTAATAATAATCATAAAGAGAATTGCACTATAAAAAAGATTAAAGACGATACAATCTTTTTATCTCAAGTACATACCTCCAATATGATATAGATAAACATTTTCCAGGTGTATATTCATCTACATGTATATGTTCATCTAATCTATCACGAATTAATCTTAATGTTTGTGAATAAAGTACTTCCAATTGTAACGATTGACAAAAATAATGAAGAATATGGTATACTTCAGACAATGGATTAGAGCTTTCTGCTAATCTAGATTGCACGACCTTTCATAAAAAAAAAAAAAAAAAAAAAAAAAAAGGAAGAAAAAAAACACATAATACATTAATTGTGTACATAATATGATAATATTATATTTATTTACCTGATGAACATAACGCGTTTGTAAGGGATGTACTAATGCTTTTCCATCTCCCGTTTCTCTATCAGAAACTAAAATCTCCAATTCCAATAATCTCCATGGTACTGCTGGACCATCTCCCATAACAGTAAGTGAAACTGAAAATTCTTGTTCGACTAAAAATGTTACTCTACCAGCTTCGATCTATAAAAACGAAAGGGGGGGAAAAAAAGAATAGATCAAGAAGCAACAATGTAAAATAAAAAATGATATTCCTCCATTATAAATTATTTTATAAACATACCTTCAAATTACGCATTTGTGGAAGTAAATTTCCAGTAACTAGTCTATGTTGTATTACTTGATTTAATCTTTGTAATGTACTTCTTTTTTCTGCTGGAGTAATAGGATCAGGCGGTACTATTCTTTCCTGTATAAATAACATTTTTTAAATAATAGATTATTCGTTATAATTCGTATTTTTGTAGATTATTATATATTATCTGCATACTCTGATACAAGCTGGTAAACGACCATATGTGCCTGTAGTAAGGACCTCTACTGCTGCAGGAATATGAAAATTAGGTAATCTTGCATGGACGAGTGTCTTTCGTGCCATTCTTGCCAACATGTCAGCAGTATCAACAAAAAGTAATGATTGTTTGTCTAAAAATGCCATAATGTGCTGCAACATATGAAAAAATTATATTTATATTATTCGAGTAAAAAAAAAAATCAATATATATATATATATATATATATATATATAAATATATGTACTTACTGCTGATTTATCGACTTTAGATGCACTGTTGGCCCATTTTACTAATGCCAATAAACGAACATATAATTGTCTCGTTCTAGCAGAAAAATTATAAATTTCAATTTTACGTTCCATATCAGTTTTGCGAGGTAATCTAAAGAAATAAGTTACTTATTATCATTTATACCTTATTTATGTATTTAAATTTCTAATGTTAAAGAAGTAAAATATTCTTCAATAATCTTTAAATGTATAAATAAAAGATATAGACTTACAATTCTGCTAGTACAGTAAGTTCATGATAAGTACGTTGTATAATGAAATCTATGAGCAAGCCAAGAGAAATAGAACCACCACGATTACCCTCTTGTGGTATATTATTTGTTACTGGCGTTTGATGTCCTTCTAATGGTACAGGTGCCATTTTTATTTTTTTATTTTAAACAATAGGATGTATCCTCTTCCGATCTTGCAAAATAATACAAATATTTAATACTTAATAATCGTATTATAAAACAATTTATATCGTTTAACAATATTTGTTACTTTTATAATATTGAACTTTTTATTATATACATTTTACATACATATTGAATGTATTTTTAAATGTGATCATGGATGTATAACTTTGGATCATAAAGCTGCAATTTTCCAGGCACTTTCTGTATCATTAGACCAGAAACGTTAGTTGAATTAATAAAGTTATATTCAATGCAATCACTGTGAAAAATATATCATATTAAAATAATTCAATCTTTCATTTTATATATATCTTTTATAAGAGGTAAAATTAAATTCAATAGGTGAAAATTTGAAGGTTATTTTATCGAAAACGAATTAACTACAGGTTACTTTTTTTAAATGAAAAAAATAACATTTGAAAAAAACTTAATGAGAATCCATATATCCTTCCAAATTATCAACAATTTATGCGATATATTTTGTAATTTTTATAATGATCAAATCATTAAGTAAAAAAAAAAATGTATATATATATATATGATAATAACTTCATAAATTAAAATATTTTTCAACACTTTCATAAAAAAAAGTCTAAATAAAATAGAACATTTCATTTTATAGTCTTTTCAAATCAACAATATGTAAATCATTATGTAAAAAAAAAAAAAAAAAAAAAAAAAAATCTATTGAGTTGTTCGGAAAGTAATTTCGTTTTTTTTTTGTGAAAATGAAAGACAATTTCCGTATAATGAACAAATATTTTATTAAATTATATATTGGCTTTTTCCAAAGCCAATATCCATCAAAAAAAAGGTGATGCTGTCTGTTTGGTGGGATTTTAAAGGAATCGTTTTTTTTTTGAGATTTTACCGGATAACACAATTAATTCGGAAGTCTACTGTCATCAGCTGGACAAACTGAATGTTGCACTTCAACAGAAACGGCCAGAATTAATCAAAAGAAAAGGTGTAGTGTTCCACCAGGATAATGCGAGACCTCATACAAGTTTAGTCTCTCGCCAAAAACTTTTACAGCTTGAATGGAATAAAATGCCACACCCACCATATTCTCCAAATCTGGCACCTTTGGATTATTATTTCACTGCAAAATTTTTTAGACGGTAAAACCTTCACTTTAAATGAGGAGGTCAAGAACCACCTCAATCAGTTTTTTCCCCAACAAAGACCAAAAATTTTATGAGCGTGGAATCATGTTACTACCAGAAAGATGCTAAAAGATATTAGACGAGAATTTTTAATATATAATTTAATAAAATATTTGTTCATTATACGAAAATTGTCTTTCATTTTCACAAAAAAAAAACGAAATTACTTTCCGAACAACCCATTAACTTCTCGCCAAAGGACATAACTTTCTCTTATATAGTTACATTAGCTAAGCGACACATCGAAAACTGATTTCAGTCAACTTCAACCAAATACTTAAAGCAACTGAAAGAAAAGTGCGATGGGTTGATTCATGTTAATTATGTTAAATGTTACTCACGATTACTAGGGGAGGGCGTTAGTGTCAACATATTTATAACGACCAATAGGGAACAATTATTACAGCGGTTTTTTCAAATATCTTTTGTCATATCAACGCTTCGTGAATGACTCAATTAATGAAGACAAGTTATAGAAATATTAACGAGGTGTCACTGTAATCGCGTTTTCTTATTGGTTTCTTATAAACAGCTTATATATTAGATGTGTGAGCACTCCGGGTTCACCTTGGCACGTCATTCACGCCCGCTGACGCGCGGGTTCTGTGAGGGTATTTTAATTTGAGTGAATTGTGTCTGTCGTATGAATTTCTTAAAATGGGAGGAAAATGGTCAAGTATGGATCCTCTGCAAGTAGAGGTTCCAGAATTAAAAAGTTTATTAGAAAGAGATCCATATTTGAAACCTTATGAAAAGGATATACGCCGAAGGTATCTTTATAAGTTTAATCGTATTCTTAACAGATCTTTTCACTTGCTTTTATCTTCTTTATTTTATATTGAAATATACGTTCTTTCATTATTTTTAGATATGCTTTATTTAAAGATTATATAGAAAAAATAGAAGCAGGAGATGGTAATTTAAATAACTTTTCAACGGCATACAACATATACGGAATACACGTTAATAAGGATAATAGTGTAACAGCAAGAGAATGGGCACCTGGAGCTCAAGAATTATTTTTAACAGGAGATTTTAGTAAGAAATTTTACTTATATATATATGTATGTATGTATATCTTTTATCTATACTATCCTTAATTAGCATCAATTTTCTTTTTCTTTTTAAAGATGGTTGGGATAAAACTAAAACGCCATACAAGAAACTGGAGTATGGGAAATGGGAATTACATTTACCTCCAAATCCAGATGGAAGCTCTCCATTACAACATCTTTCTGAAGTTAAGATTATCGTTAAGGATCATAATAATGAATTATTGGAAAGACTTAGTCCCTGGGCCACATATGTAAATCAACCACCAGATAAAAATGAAGGCACAACATTTAAACAACGTATTTGGCATCCCAGTCCTGAAAAAGTTAGATTTACAGATAGAATATATATTGTAATTAATATATATTGTATTTATATATATTACACTTTTCTTATAGGTTTACAAATTTAAACACCCGAAACCAAAGAAACCTGAAAGTCTTAGAATATATGAATGTCACGTTGGTATTGCTACCCAGGAATTACGAATTGGTACATATCTTGAATTTGCTAAAAAGATAATTCCACGTATAGTAAAACAAGGCTATAATGCTATACAATTAATGGCTATTATGGAACATGCTTATTATGCCAGCTTTGGATATCAAGTAGCTATATATCTTTTTCTTTATTTAATTTAAATATTTATATGAATATTCCTATGAAACTTCTTGCATTAAAATTAATTAGGTAACTTCATTTTATGCCGTTTCATCTCGATATGGTACACCAGAGGAATTAAAAGAATTGGTAGATGAAGCTCATGCTCATGGTCTTTATGTATTATTAGATATGGTGCATTCGCATGCTTCAAAAAATACTTTAGATGGGTTAAACATGTTTGATGGTACGGATAGTTGTTTCTTTCATACTGGTAGTCGTGGACAACATCCACTTTGGGATAGTAGATTATTTAATTATGCAGAATATGAAGTACTACGCTTTTTACTTTCTAATTTACGTTGGTACATAAGCGAATATGGCTTTGATGGATTCAGGTTAGAAAAATTAACTTTATTTCATTATATATGTTAGTCACATGATGTAAAATATTTATGATTTATAATTAAAACAGATTCGATGGAGTTACATCAATGCTGTATCACTCAAGAGGTTTTGGGCAAGGTTTCAGTGGCCATTATGATGAATATTATAGCTTAAATGTTGATGTCGAGGGTGTGGTTTATTTGATGCTAGCTAATCATATGTTACATGATTTATATTCTGAAATTGCTACAATAGCTGAAGATGTTAGTGGGATGCCAGGTATATGCAGGTATTAAATCAAATAATATTGGATATTTACATAATATTATTGTATGTTCTTCATATAAATATAGGAAACTAATGAAATTAAATGATAAAGAAAGTTTATTTATAACCATGATTATAATAATGTATTAAAGATATGTATTTTCTTAAGATATATATATATAATTTTTAAGACCAGTCGCTGAAGGTGGTGTTGGATTTGATTATCGACTAGGAATGGCTATACCTGACAAATGGATTAAATTATTAAAAGAAACCAAAGATGAAGATTGGAATGTGGGTGACATATGTTGGACATTAAGTAACCGCAGATGGATGGAAAAAACAGTTGCATATTGTGAATCTCATGATCAAGCTCTTGTAGGTGATAAAACAATAGCATTTTGGCTCATGGATAAAGAAATGTATACACATATGAGTTCACTGAGTCCATCAAGTAATATTATTAATCGTGGTATAGCTCTTCATAACATGATCATGCTTATCACGCATTCTTTGGGTGGAGAAGCTTATCTAAATTTCATGGGTGAGAGTTCTTTTGATAAGTATTTACTTCGTATAATTATCTTTAAAAAGTAGGTCGTGCGTGATATAATTTACATTTTCATTTTTCATCTTTATTCTTATTATAGCATATATATATATATATATCATAAGAAATCACAATTAATTTTTTTTTTAATAAAATAATAAAAAGTTTTAATTTAATTTAATTGAAATGTGTAAATACAATTAATAATTTCATTTAATATTTAAAAATGAATTCATTTGCACATAGGAAATGAATTTGGACATCCAGAATGGCTAGATTTTCCTCGAGCTGGCAATGCAGATAGTTATCATTATGCAAGAAGACAATGGAATTTGGTAGATGACGAATTATTGAAATACAAGTTTATGAATAATTGGGATCGTGATGTGAATAATTTAGAAGAAAAATATGGATGGTTACATGCTAATCCTGTATGTTTTATAAAAATTTTGTTCAACAGTTCAAAAAATAATAAATATTTGCAATGATTTCAGGGATATGTTAGTTGGAAGCACGAAGATGATAAATTGATAGTTTTTGATCGTGCTGGACTTACATTTGTTTTCAATTTTCACCCCACAAAGTCTTTTGCTGATTATACGATAGGAGTGAGACAGCAAGGAGCACATAAAATTGTATTATGCAGTGACAATACACAATATGGAGGTGAAAATCGAGTTGATAATAATACTAAACATTTTACAAATCCTGAACCATATTCTGGCTTGCCATATAGAATGATGGTATATATTCCTTGTCGTACAGCTATAGTATATGCTCATGGTACGTATAATGATAACTTATCAAACAAATATATATAAAATACTACATTATTAATATTCGTAATTTATTTTTAGAAACCTGATATATGAAGAAACTATGTAACATATACTATAATCCTGTAAATTTCAATACTGTAGTTAACATAAAATTGTATTTTTATAAAACATTATCTTTTATTACGCAATATTATTTTATAAAATAATATTCTGTAATTTATATTATATTTTATGGGAAACAGAAATAAAAGAAGAAAAATTTTTAAATCATTTACTTTAGAAACTAGTATATGTAATTAACATATAACATCAAATTCTTTCATATTTATATCATAATCGATCATTTTTCTATCCAATATCCACCATCTATCTAAAAATCCTATGTCTATTATTCTTTCATAAAAATTTAAGTAACGTGGTTTTAAATAAGGACAGACAGCTTTATAAAGAGAACATTCTTTGTCATAATTATCTAACCAGATTATAGATAATATACCTATACTAAATCTTCGTACAATACCTTCATTATAATATTTTTCTAATATTTCTACGTGTTGTACCGATATTTCATTACGAATAGTTTCACCTACTTGCATTAATTTAATAGCATTTTCTAATAAATGTTCACGAAAAGAATCTTCATCAGGATTATGTTTATATAAATAATACGTGGATCCTAAAACTTAAATACGAAGCAAATATTATATTTATTGTATATATATACGATTGATACAAAATATAAACATTAACATACCTGTACTATATATTGATGTACGTATAGGATGTGATTTACAGTCTTTTATAGTATCAATAGTAACTTCTTTATAATCTATATATAAATTTTTCCAATAATTTCCTGTAAATTGCAATATAATATTCATCATTTAAAATATAGAAATATGTTGATTTAATGATTACAAATCATTATAAATTCTTACCCCAATGTTCTAATATTGTTCCTTTAAATCTTTCAGACATTCCATTATTCTTTATTGTATTAATTACTTTGTTAAATTTTAAATAGAATGGATTAAAAATTAATTTAACTTTTTCACCTAACTGAATAGAACTCCGAAAATTCATATTAAATATTATTTAAATAATACATTTAATTAAAAAAGAATTTAAAATGTATTTTATCAAATATTTAATTCTTTTTGACAGATCAATATTTTTGTATCATTTGTAATTAAGATTATAGAGACATTAATTTTACGTTGTTTTCAATGTTAACCTCTATTCAATCTTTGGCACATGTTATATCCCCCTCTCTTTCTCTCTCGCTCTCTATCGTTCTTTCTCCCCTCTCTTATTTCTTACTGCATGGAACTTACAGTGAATTTTACGATTAACGAAGAAAATAAAGTTAAATATTCATTAAAGAAAATATAAAAATCTGAAAAATTAAACTATGTCAAAAATTAATACTATTGAAATAAATAACATTTATAATATATGATTCAATTATTATTTTTATGAAAATCAGAATTTGATAATAATTTTGTTTTATGTTTAATGAATCTCTATTCAAATACATTACATATATATGTAATACATATATATGGTGGCAATTACTAACAACATAGTTTTATAAAATACCTTAATTATAAAAGAGGAATAGTAGATAAAGTAATTAACTTATTTCTGTTATATCTGAACATTTATTTACTTTTCCCTGATGCAAAATAGACGAGAATTTTATGATATTGAATGGGAAATAAAAAATTATAATAGAATGAAAATATTTATTCTAAATGAATATAATGGAAGTAAAAAAGAAGCTAAAGAAATTGGTAAATATATGATATTGAAATGACTAACTAAAGGGGGAAAAAGAAAAGAGAGAATTGTCAAAAAATAAACTTAGAAAAATTTTAGAAAGGAATTAACTAAACAAATTCGTAAAGTATAATATCTTTTTAAAAGATTTAAAAATTTTTTGTAAAAATTATTATATTAAAAAATATCTTGACCTAAATAAATAGTAAAATGAATAAACAGGTGTCTTCAAAATATTCTCGAGATGTAATTAGAGCTGAATATAAAAATGTATACCCTAGTTCAATCAGAAACCACAATCACTTGTTGAACTTAGCATATTATTAACAATTTAAAAATACGTATGTGACATGTGTTACGTATACTTAAATTCTTCAAATATCTAAAGTTAGTATTACAGTTTATACTGCAAATTACTAAGTAAAATAACTATGTATCATAATCTTCATCGATATTAGCAGTATGAGTAAAGTTAGATGTTGGATGATTTGTTGAACTCGTATCAGAATTGTTACTTGAATTTATAGGATTGACCTCTGTATAAAAATTAGGTTGATTAATCTGAAATGATGCAGGTACAGAAATTTGAAACTCTGGAGCTTGAGGTGTAGCGGTGACTTTAGATATTTCGCTTGATACATTGACATTTGAATTTACTATTCTTCCATCATTTCTCCAGATTTTATTTTCTGCGTTTGTATCGTTTGATATCAAACTTTGAGAGCTAAAAAAAAGAAAAAGAAAAAGAATATTATTAAAGAAAATTATATTAAAAATAAAAAAATTATATTAGAAATAAAAAAAAATTATATTATATTATAAAAGATTATACCCTTGATCCAAATAATATGCTGTAGACGGACATGTAGTTGGATTAGAAATGTTTACATTTATTGGGGCAGGAGTTAAAGGTGGTGTAGGTACTTCTTCATCAGGTCCTGATACGTCTGGTAAACCTTTTACCAAATCTTTAAGAAAATCAAAACGACTTTCCGATAGAATACATTGTTTCCTAGGAAGTATAAAATAACGATTCAAGTTAGTTAGAATATATAATAAAATAAATACATAACTTTATATAATATAATATTAATAATTATTTAACTTACTTACATATGGGATGGACTTAGGGTCTTAGCATTCTTGGCACTTGTAATTTGCATAGTTTTTGTAAGAAGCGAATGTACAAATAGCTCCAATGTTCTAGGTATATATATATGGTTAAGGTGAAAGTTAACATTGCAAAAATGTATGTTTATAAAAAAAAAAAAGAAAAAGAAAAAAGAAAAGAAAAAAACATCGTTAATATCATTAAAGGATATTGTAATAATATTATATATAAAAAAGGATATAGATTATAATTGGTACTGCTTGAGCAACTTTTCCTACTTCTTCATCGGTCTGCATAATTTTCTTAATACGACCCTGAGATGCATTTTTTAGGTTAAGTTATCTGTACAATGTTGCAAGATAGCATGTAAAATTATATTCGATGGATAAATAAATTAAACGTTAATCTTCGTTTTAAACATTAACTTATATCATCCAAACATTTGTATTATTTTAATCCATAATATAATACTTAAATGTGTGTTATAAGTAAAAAATAATTCTATTGTTTTTGTACTTTATTGTCAAACAATACCACGATGGAAAGAAATTTTATGCTTACCGCTGGAAAACGTGCATTATATTTTTTCTTTTTACTTGGCATTATAACTGAGAATGTTATTAATTTGATGATTTTTCACAGAACCAAAAGGAAATGTACAATTGATGAAAATAATCGTTTATATATTGCTTGCACCAATCGACGCGTTCCAAACCTTGATAACCATCTCTATTTTCGATAACTTATAAAACAATTCGTGCTCGTAAAATAACCGTTTCTTTCATCGATTTTATATTTATATAATATAATGTCTTCAAAAATTTCTCATCTTTAATAAATTTTCACATAGAAATTGTTGTTTTTTAAGTATTATGCAATAATTTTCTTTTCGAAAAAAAAAAAAAAAACTTCCATTCCAATATTTTTTAAATTCAATTCAATTTTTTCTATTATTAAGTTTTTCAAATCTTGACCTAGTCACTTTTGTTACAGTATCAATGACGGTGTTAAATTAATAAATAAACACACTGATAATCATTTCATATGTAAAGTACATTAATGACAATTCACATAAATGTAAAAAAATTATAATTTTAATTATCAAAATAAATATTTGATAAGCTTATTCTTGGTTCGTTCTAATTGGCTACACAAGTCGCGCCAATGGCACAGTCAATGTATTATATGTGCTCATTTGTACTTACATAAATCATTAATTTGTTTAGTTTGTTTATTATATGTGTATTGAAGTTTTAAAAAATTCAAAAATTTACTTGGATTTCCTATTTAATTAATTTTTGTTAATTTCATAGCGAAAAATTAATTATATTATCAAAGATGTGATGAATATATTATGAACTGTGATCAGTTAACAGTAATATTTTATTTGTGAGATATAAAATTTGGTGGCGCACGATTAATTATTCTTTATGATTTATTCTTGAATCTATAGTAATAAGAAACTTAAAATATAAAATATTTATGATGTCTCAAGGAAAAGGTATGATAAAAATATATGAGAGTACACATAACCTCTTTAACCTCTTTACCATGTAAACATAAAATTATTTTTTATAAATTAGATGATTTTTTTTCTTTTATTTTTTTTATTTATTTTTTTTTTTTTTAAGAAATCAATTTTATAAAGATAGTTTATAAACAATATATTATTTAAAGAAAATATTTTTGTATATAGTATACCCGAAAAATAATTGTCTTTATATGATCTTATTTAGCTGGTAGAAGAACTCGTGGTCATCATTGTAATAAAAACAAAGTCAATGTTGGAGATAAAGGAAGAGAAATTTTGGAAAGTATAGATGAGAATAATTTGGTTATACAACAGTTTCGAATATATTCCAATGAATTAGATACAAAACATGATAAATTTGAGAAACTTGTTAAACTTAGTCGAGACATTACAATAGAAAGTAAAAGAATAATATTCCTTTTACATACCCTTGACAAAGAAAGTAAACGAGACTCCGTACTTGGAGAAGCTAAGCAAAGACTTGATAATATGGGGAAAACTCTCTTTAAAAGCATTGCGTATGAGTTAGATGGTCAAGATATTTATCAATATCTTAAAGCCTATAGAGTTGGACTTGAAGAATATATAGAAGCAGTTACATTCTTTCAATATTTACAATCTGGTTCTATGCAAGACTGGATTGAGTTAGAAAAGTCATTGATTTATCCCGATTCAAATAAATCTAAATCCACTTTACAGAATTGTGAGTTACCGACAAAAATGACACGAATAGTAATCACTCCAAACGAATATATCATGGGTATAGCAGATTTGACCGGAGAACTTATGCGAAAGTGCATTAATAATTTAGCAACAGGAGATATAGCCAGTTGTTATCAAATTTGTAATTTTGTTAGAAATATGCATAAGGGATTTCTAGGATGTACAAGTATTTTTAATAAAGATATGAGTAAAAAGCTTTATACGTTAAAACAAAGTTTAACTAAAATGGAAAATGTATGCTATACAATAAAAGTAAGAGGATCTGAAATACCTAAACATATGTTGGCAGATGTTGCCATTGGAGCTACAGAGGATTATATGGGTGATGAAGATGAAGGATATCAGGTCTAATGAAAACTAATAAAAAAGTAATGTAACTACAAATAATTACACATACACACACACACACACACGTTTAAATAATAATAATAATAATAATAATAATAATAATGATAACTATGTAATATTTTATATCTATATTTACATAAAATAAACATTATTTCGATGGTAAGTGACAATGTTAATTTTTTCAATTTAAACAAATAAAAACGATTCACCAAATAAAAATATTTCTCTGTTATTCTTCATAGATCTAACTAATGACAATTTAATATCTTATTAAATACCAAATTTCTAATGATTATAATTATCACAGATAAATTTGATGTAATATTCTTTCAAACTGAACTAATATATGGTAATTATTATTACATAAATAAATAATTTGTCTGTACACTATGTATAAAGTCAATGTTTCACCATTTCCTTTATTATCTTAACCAGTTCAAGATTTAGAATCTTCGATATCACTGTTACTTTCATTCCAGTCACTTTCTACATTATCCACATCACTTTCTAAATTTTCTATGTCAGTGTTGGTATCATCCGAACTGAAATCGGATGGTTCGTATTCAGATTCATCAACAGATTCATCTTCTGACGATGCTTCCACTACAGATTCATTGTCACATCTTGGTGATCGTACAGGGGTTGGCGCTCGACGTTTTCGCATAGTGGAATGTTTAAATTGAGCTTTGTGTTGTAGATTTTTGCGATAGCAATTTATACCATAAGGACATTCAGGGCGTTCATCGACTTCTTCAAAATCTGGATCACCTGGATGACTGAACTGAACTTTGTGATGTGGATTCTTTCTAAAAATGATATTTAAATATTTAATAAAACAGAGAAACTTTTTATAAAAAAAAAAAATATAACGATATATCAATACATATCAATATACCTGTAACATTTATCCTTGTAAACACATTTATTTCTTTTCGTTTCTACTTGCTCAGCACTCGATACACTTGCTTTATTTTGTTCGAGTATTGGCGAAGAATGCATATCCTGTTGTGCTAAAGTATGTGACTCATCGCGATCACTAGAATGCATAACATGGTCCTGTTTAACATTTGCTTCAACTTTCTTCGATTCCTCTTTCTGAATATTTGAATTTTCTTTATCAAGTGTAGATTCTTTAGGTAAATCTGGATTCTCTGCCATCGATATTGAACTGAGAATAGTTTGATTATTCTCTGATGAACTAATATTCAAAGGGAACATTGAAGATTTAATAAAACTATATTGTCTTCTAAACTTTTGCTTTTGTTACAAATATTTATAGAAAAAAAAAAAAAAAGGAAAGGAACCTAGCATCCATATCCTTGGAAAATGTAGACACAATAATATTGCTCCCTTTGTTTAAGATAGGCGTCTCTATTGTTATAGGTTTAAAATCTTTATTATCTTGAGTTTCGCTAGAACCATCGCCATGCGAAGCTATAGAGTTTGGAGATGTATCGAAACATATCTTTTTATCCATTGGTTCGAATGGTATGTCATCTGTACACTATGCCATAAGTAATATATATCTGTGTATATTTTATCTAATTTAACCACTTACAATATCAACGAAATTTAATAATATAAATAAATCAAAGAAAGAATAAAGAGGTAATAACCTTTCTTTTTAATAGATGATTATCTTTCTCTACTGTTTCAGACATTGTCATAATTTTAAACCAACATTTATCTGATAACAAGGAACAAATATCTCCTGGTTTAATAGGTACAGCTGTACCTAATTTAAGAAGATGCCACCGAGATGATCCAGTAGATTTTATATAACAAGGCGAGACCTGATACTAATAACAATTTTCTAAGAAATCCTAATTATTATTAATATTATTATATATCTTGTAAAAGTAAATAATGCAAATCAAATATATCATTTTTTTTTTTAATTAATTTACTTCAAAAATATATTCCTTAAGCCTAATTGATATATATTTCAAGTATATTTTGATGGATATTCTCATATCTAAGTAATTGAATCTTACCGGTGTCAGGGTCATATCACCACTTGGAGATAAATTGATTGTTACAGCATGTTTAATGATCTGTCCATTATTAGACTATAATCATTAAATAATAGAAAAATATAAATATAATAGACTAAAAAATTTATGTACATAAATATTAATATTGCTTTAATAGATAATATAAACCTAACCTATTAGAAACAATGTTTATAGATTCTAAATACTAATTCAATCTCTTCATTCACGTGAATTTCTATATGTTACACGCATGTAAAACTTTTAGAATAAAAATTAAAGAAAAAAGAAACAATAAATAAAAATAAATAGATAATAAAAATAAATTCAGGAATACACAAAACAGTACGTTCCGTAGAGCTTGATATTAATCCGTGTAACACATGATTTATGATGAGCCAAGTGGTGCCACCATCGAAATATAATGAAACTAATTTTCACTACATTGCGATATACTTACTATAATAGTATATTTTTATGTGTCTCTTATACATCCGACCGATGCATAGAATCATCAAAGTTTGTAAACGACAGCTCGATAAAAAGTAATTACAAAGAGAAATAAAAAAATAATTTTTTTGCAATAATAAATTATGATAATAAGACTATTTGACAAGTTGTAAAGAAAGAAGAATTGACATAATAAAAAATATTATTAGGATATTATGATAGAAGAATTGAAAGCAGCACAAATTCGTGTACTCACTCCTGTAACACCATTACGACCGATAATATTATTTCCTATTTGTAAATTTGCTATTTGAAAGAGATCGTTTTCGAATCGAATTATTTGCAGTTTTTTCATTCTTATTGCCCATCGGTTTTCTTTGTTATATATAGTCGGCTTTTATTAAGCGACTAATCAATTTTTTTATACCGCAAAATAATACTATGTGACATTTTTCTTGACATTTTGTTTACTATGTGAAACAAAAAAATATTCAATGAAGTTCTTTCAAAGTTGTTTTAAGATAGCTACGAAATGCATGCATATGCGTATGCTTATGTGTATGCGTATGCGTATGCGCGCGTGTACATGTAAATGCATGTTTCGTAGCTAAGGAATAATATATATACTTTTTTTTTTTTTTATTCCTGAAAGAAAAGAGAGAAAGGAGATGGCGGGAAAAAAAGCGATAAGGTAAAAGATAAGGCTTTCTATGATAACAATGAAATGTTTTTCATTTATACTTACAAAGAATGTACACTTTTATAAACAAGGAGAAACACGCTGAGAGAAGTACTAAACAGTACAGATTTGATGCCCATGTCTAATCGTCATATCGAATCTTTTAGCGTGAAAAAATGACATAGAAAAATTGGCCAAATTCAAATATTCACATTTATTAATAATATGATATATAGATAATGTAACCAGCCAGACGTGTCTTATAGATTTGTTGATCGGAACTTTATAATTGCGTCGAGAAATTTTCCTATCGTAATATCTTTCGTAAAAGCATAAAATCGCGCTTTTTGTTTATGATTTTATTTATTATTTTTATTTTTATTTTCTTCATTTCCTTCCGTGTTTTCAGGGAGTAGAATATATAATCGAATAGTAATCTCAAATTAATCCCGATCGTTCTACGTACATAGATATAAAAATTATCATAAAATATTGCCGCATCTCTTTGTCGAAGATATTTCAATTATAAAAAAAAGTGTACATATAAAGATATTTATATATATATATATATATATATATATATATATATATATATATATAAAGAAAAAAAAAGAAAACACACAGAAAAAAAATTATAAACAATTGAAGTAAATATATCTTGATCGATCAATTAGTCTTCGATAATTGAACTAAAATGATTAATATATAAGATGTTTGTTTGTATAACAGCATCCATATACATATATATATATATATATATATATATATATATATATATATATACGTAATATGGCAGAACGTCGATTATTTTAAATATGGGAACATAAAAAATTTTCGATAAACAGGTTGTTGATTGATGGGTCGAGATAAGTAAACAGAAACTTGTAATAAAGAAATAGAGTAATAACGTGCACACACACACACATACACACACACACACACACACACACACACACATGCGAAAAGTAAATACATATAAAAGCTATTCCTTATCAATTGTATCATTACTATATAATTAAACTGTTTTTCGTTTAATCGGCGTTCTGTCGTATGTGTGTACATATATATACATATATATATTTATATATATATAGGATGTCTCCAATGAAACGTACACATTTCATTGTGAAAAACAAAAAAAGGTTAGAACATTTCGTTGCAGATATCCTGTATGTCTATATATATATATATATATCGTATGGATTTTTTGTCGAAACTTATCGTTTTGAAATCGCACGAATGATTCTAATAATGAACAAATCGATTGAAAAAAAAAATATGTATATAATATATATCAACAAAGCTCTATAATTTTTATTAAAGTAGGAACGGTATATATATATATATATGTACATACACACACATATATATAGATAGATATATTGCAATTTTCTTTCTAAATCAAATACAGTCTAATGTCTCCCCCATATAAATCTCATTTCAGGTTAATCCTCTTCAGTCATTGCTAATCGATTGCACCCTTAAGTTTAATGATTTGGTTTTGGTCTGCGCGCGACACAATACTTTTAAACAATCATTTATCTCTCCTTTTTGGTATAGTTGTTGTTTCTTTTTTTCCCCCTTACCTCGCATGTCTCTTTTTTTTATCCATCATCCCCTTTTTCTTTTTAGGTAATTCGTATACCTCTTATTCGTGTTTTTCTCGTACGCTCTTATCGCGCATACACATACGCACACACATACACGTAGATACAGCAGGCACACGTATGCATTCTTCTGTTTCAAGGGCGTTCGTTTCTAGCGTTAAAAAAAGAATGACATAAAATAAAATAAAATAAAATAAAACGTAAACTATAACGATAAGGGTACCAATTTATTTCTGCGCAGTTTAGATCTGATTGTACACACACACACACACACACACACATATATATATATATATGTATATGTAATCATGTGCATATAAAGTGTAGAAGAAAAGGTATTCAAATCTATTGGGTTTTGGAAATATATCCCGTAGATAAAAATATGCTTTGTCCCATGAAAAATGTATAGTATTCGTTTTTTTTTCTCTATCTCTCTCTCTCTCTCTCTCCGTAAATTTCTTCTCACTCATTCATTCATTCATTCATTCCTATACACACGCGAGCATCGAGAATTTCTATGCATTTATATATGTGGATTGCATAAAAATTGACCTTCTTTCTTTTCGAATAATTTGTAAATGAGACTATGCATAAAGCTTAAACACATTTTTTGCATACATGTGAAAAACGTAGGATGGATATTCCATGGAAGAAAAGAAAAAGAAAAAAAGAAGAAAGAAAAGAAATTTTTTACTCGAATATTTCATATAAATATAGGTAAAAGTAACGTGAATAATATGAATTATTTTGAATTAAAATTTGAGAAAGAATATTGTATGTTATTGCGTAGTTAAGGAAAAAAAATAATTCTCTCTCTCTCTCTTTCTCTCTCCTTTTGCGATATGGAATGCAATTTGAATATACGCATAACCGTTCATATATGCAAGATATACATTTGAATCCCTTGTGTGTATGTGTGTTTGTTTCATGTCCCTGAAATTAATTATGAAATATGTTTGGTCCAGTATTATTTAAAATCTCTTGTCAATTAGCAAATAAATAATGTTAAACGTCGAGGCTTAACACTTTTTTTTAAAGCGTTATAGCGTACACTTATTGTTTTAGGTACTATTTTAATCAGAAACGAAAAAAAAAAAAAAAAGAAAGAAAAAAGTATTATAACACATTTCTTTCTTTTTAGCAATTATTAACGATACTTCCTCTCCTGCCTTTCTTAAATGTAAATACGCTAGAAAAAATGCATCCCGCGCACGATAAAAGTCGACATATTGTTTTATATGCCGTCACGTTCAAGCTATAAAAAGGAATCATTGATAACAATGCGGATAATCGCTATATGTTACTATAAATATTTTTTGTTTGTTTGTAATTATTAATTATTAATATTATTATTTATTATATTACTTATCGATCATCATTGTTGTTATTATTATTATTATTATTATTATTATTATTATTATTATTATTATTATTATTATTATTATTATTATTTAAATTAATAAATATAACATTCGCTCTATAGAACATTCAGTTCGAAATACTGTTTATTCTTGAAATTTGCCATACACCTATCGGTCTCTAGCATTCAGAATTTTTCTTCTCATCTTGGTACACTTCTGCACCTGAGAACTATATGGTAGCACTTATAAAAGCTATCCCCGAGTTATGAAAAATAAAACAGTAATACTGTGTCGTGTTAGTTTTCTTTTAAATAATTCATATATTCTTTTTAGTTTCAATGTATCTTTCAATAATAATGCTACGTAGGAGTTTAAATTATAACAGATATGTGCTCAATATAAAATAACATGTTTGAAAAATGAATGATATTATTTAACAATTCGATGCACTTGTAATACGCGTTATGACAGAGTATAAACGTATTAAATTATTATCTTAATATCAAATCGTTAATGATAATAGGAAAGCAAAGCGAAATGTTTATTCGGAATGATATCACTGCATTGATGATGCACTCTATTGATCTAATTAATTTTTCATAAAAGTATTACCTGCCATCTAATATTAAGGCCATAGATGAAATAAACTTCATTATGTTGTTTCTATAACGCGTAATTCTCAACGTTCGTTTTTGGAATGATCATATTATATGCAATCTATTTATGTATATCTTATAGCTCTCAGGTACAAAATTATTTTTCATGTATAATCTTTGTTTCTTTTTTTTTTCTTCTTCTTTTTATTAACTGTACATGTATGTTGCTATGCAATAGGCATTTTTCTTTATAGAACTTGAAATGGAAGGAGCCTTCCAAAAAATTGAATTCCATAGCACGTATTGTTTCAGAAAATTTTCAAAGTTATTATCCAAATTCGTCAAAGTTATTATCTTTTATTTTATCACGATAAATTTTAGTTTCAAAGAAAAACATTAAGTTAATGCAGGCATTAGATTCAAGTTCAATGTAGAATATTAATCTTGTACTGGTCTATATCAATGTATAGGAAAAAAAAAATATATGCCGATGTTTGACAAAGAAGATCACCTAAATCAAGATATTCTATTTCAATGTAGTTTCTCAGTTTTGTCTTATTTACACATTATTCTGACTGATTACAATAATTTTCTATTCAATTCTTTTTTTATTCCCCTTAAATATATATTTTCAAACTGTACTGCAGTATATATATACATATATATATATATATATATATATATATATATATATATATATATATATATATTTCTCAATGAACGGTAAAAGTACAAACGTTCTCACAGACACGGAACTTTCTTCTTATTGAAAGAGTTCTCTCGATAGAAACTCTTATAGATAAATAAACTTCTATCGTTGGAATGACACAATAAGTAATAAGTCTGCAGTATAAGACACGAAATATGTATACATATATACATGTATACACAATTTGATTCTTCCAATTAATATGTTCTTATAAAGGTTTTTATCAATATAAATTTGATATTAATCATTTGTCTTATGTAAGACAAAGAAAATGAGAATTAATGGACGACTTTTAGCATATTAAATGAAGAGGAGAAGTGCATCAAGCCGTATATAACGTTTTTCTCTATGATCATTGAACTATACTAGAATAATTTTCACTTGGCCACACGTAATACAAATGACGATAATGAGTGTGTGGTTGTAATTCTGAAAATTGCAATGTATAAGACGACGGGACGTATTCGTCATGATGATTTGATACTACATTTGTATCAGACTGTGGCTATACTATAGTACCCCCGCCTTCTGCTGGACTGACAACGTGTAGAGCATTACCAACCTGTCCAATGCCTGGCTGGAATAAAGCAAAGCATAGATTATTTAAAAACTTATCGTTACATTCTAAAATTGCTTCGATAAATGAAGATATATATTTTCTATTCTAATAAATGAATTGGTGCAACAAAAGTAATGTAGCATCGAATATAAGGTTTTCAAAGCTCAACTTTTTAAATAAATAAAAGATGCCTCTCGTATAGGCACACATTGAAATAAACTCTAAGCTTATACTATGCTCTATTTATCATTATATTATGCTCTATGATCTAATTAAGCGATAAACGAATGAAAGAAATGATAAGTCATACGTACCATGCGATAACTCAGGGAAGTCTCATCCATGATTCTCTTGCATCAGCCAAAGCATTGGTACAGAACATTAATCTTTCCGATCAAAGTAAAAAATTAATGCCCCACCGGCTTTAAGAAACAAGCGCAAGCATCTTCCGATTAAATTATAAGACTGTCACTATAAAAAAAGCAACGCACTCTATATGAAATTTATTTTCAAAAACTGTGACTGGTTAAATATTTGTAAAAAGATGAGTGAGCACAGGGTACTTTCAAGAAACAAATGCTGTGTGCAAAGTATCAGGAAACTTATAATTTGCTAAATAATTGAAAATTCATAAATTTAAAACATTCCTATGGCAATAATGTGGATCATGCGAAATATAAGAATGCAAAGATAAAAGGAGAATCTTAAGCGAATACTTTTTCGTTTTTATTCTTTCTTTTGTTTTTTGTTTCCTCGCGAAACAAAAGTTTCCTGTATGACTTTTGCATTGCACTTGGTAACAAAACTCAAGCAGGAAGCAAGCAGCAATTTTTCATTCAACTTTTTTGCTTTATTGTACAACAAGAAGGCAATTCATTGTTTTCAACAAAGGATTAAATGTCACATTATCATAGTTTGGGACAATAGTTCAGCTAAATAATTCGTTGGTTCTCTATGATTGGCTAAGCTAAGCTAATAACAAACATTTTATAGAAGAAAAAGAAGGATTTAAGGGGCCTGCCCTGTTACTAGACCTCATAGAGCGCAAATAGCGTTATGCATCTCGACGATGCAAATTAAACATAAATATATTTCATATTTATAATTCATCTAATGCAATTTTGCTTCGATATTCATTTTGAATATATTTTGACCAGACGATCATTAGGCACAGATATATAAATGGAGGTCCATACTATGAATGAACAGACCTTGATGATATGCAAAATCTACTTTGTTAAATTATGTTACCATTATGTAACGTTCAACTTTGTATGAATATAGAAAGAAGTAGTTACCGTTAGTATGAAATTTAAATTACACAATTTTCATTGTTTCCTTATAGTAAATATATTACTGCATGAATAAATCTGGGCATAGCTACTAAACGTGATTGCTAACATTCTCATTCTCATTCTCATTATCATTATCATTTTCATACTTTCATTACTAATTTAATTACGATTACACGATTATTGCAAGCAATTAAAAGTATCAGATATCGTTTTAAAGCTTTGAAAGCAAAAAAATTTAAATATAACTTTTCACATTATAAAACCAACAACACAAAAAAAAATATATAATATCAAAGAACTCTATTCTTTTTGACAATGCTTCTTCTTCTTCTTCTTCTTCTTCTTCCTCCTCCAAAATTTCCAACATAATATTTATCGACATAAAAATTTGTTCACTCATAGTAATATTCGCCTCTATGTTTCTGTAATTCATATATACGTAAGTATAATACAGACTTAGAGAAAATATTAGTTTTTTTTTTGTTTTTCTTTTTTTGTTTTTCTTTTTTTTTTTTTTCTTTTTTTTTTTTTTTTTAATGCTTCCTCTAATGGCACCTTCTAACACTTATTAAACTACAGTGAACGAGGTGCGGTAAATAATTGGCCTAAACACGCAATCCCATCTATTTACGCGTATGTCATTATACAAAGAACACGGAAACGTGAAAATGTCGACCTATGACCTTCAACTATAATATTACTCTCTTGGAATCAATTCTATATTTACATCGAATTTTATAGATCTCTCCCCTGCTTTAACAATCCTCTCAGTGAGACTGGTGGATAAGACGAAATAAAGTATTAAGGATCTTTAATGGCTCTTTCAAGGTAAAGAACCTAAAATTATTATTTCTATTTACATAGAAATTGACATATCGATAATTAATTAAATTCTACTTTATGGAGTTATCTCAACGATGATTGGGAACAAGTTACACATCAGAGATCGTTAGATCGCAAGGAATTGATATTGGTGTAAGGGATACTATGATGGTGTGGCCTGTGCAGAGTGTTGTTTATGGTAAGAGGACCTACCATGTGACCTGGTCTTGCCCATGTATATACGTATCCATCTTGACACGCAGTTACGAAGCAATCTTTCCTAAACACTAATTCAGTCAATCTCTCGTGCGCCAGCTTTTTGCACACCAATGGCTGAAGGACTGGGCACTCGTCGAACCTCGGACAATAGGCAGTTCCTATTAATCTCATTGGATCGTCCATCACCGAACTGACCTTCTTATTTGCACCTACTAAACTTGCACCGACGACACTGTTCATATTACTACTCGCATTCGAGTTGGTGCTCGTTTTTTCGCCACTATTGTTTTGCACGATCGTGCTATTAGATGCACCACTACCTCTCATAGTGAGGCTAAAGTTCCTCTTGTGATTATCACCCTTACGTTCACCAAAACCAAGACCTGCTAGCCTCTGTGTCAACGAATTTACAGTAGACACTGCTGCGTTGGTACTCGCGCTATTGTTACTACTTTCATTATTACCACTCACGTTTTCCTTATAATTTATATTATTTGTATTATTGAGTTTAGAATTGTTCAAATGATGATTAGCCATTGAACCGTTACCGCTATTGTGTGTCCCCGACGAAGAGAAGGTAGTAGAACCTGCGGCGGAAGGTCTCTGCTTAGGACATACCGGCTGCCTTAATATATCTTCCGTGATGTCCCACAAACACAATTGGGTATCTTGCGATACGCTACCAAGCCTGTAACACGTACCACCTGGCACTCTCAGTTCTGACCCACTAGAGTTCCTATTAGAATGAACTCCTTGCGAAGTTGTCGACAAACGATTTGACTTTTCATGAAAATGATTATGGTTATTATGAGGCATCGTTTCATCATCCGATCCGCTAAAGTCAGGGTCCTGATCACCATACGACGTGGTATATGGATCAAACGCAACAACGCTCACCCAACTATGATGACCTTGCCCGCGGGCTACCACCCGTTTTTCATGAAAGCTCCAGATCGTTACAAGATCGTCTTCTCCTCCAACGACAACGTACCTCCCATCCGGCGACCAACATACGCACAAAAATCCACCAAAGTAACTTCTTGCTGATCCTAAAAGTTCCATTTTATTATATTGGAATACTCGAAGAAATCCATCTTGAGAAACAACTGCCAAATTTGAGCCGCAAGGGCTGAAGGCAAATTCATTTATGCAACATCCCTCTGCACCTATCACCCATCTGTATAGAGGGTTCCTGGTAGATTTTGCCTTACACACGTATACGGCATAACCATCGCCAGACATAAACGATTGATAGTGAGGTGCTGTCGTTCCGCAAATAAGTTCCTCATTATACAGATATAGCTGACCCGAACTATGAGAGACCAAGAATAGATTATTTGAACCAGGAACCCATTTTATGCAAGTTACCTTACTTTTGTCTATAAGTCTCTGCAACAGAAATTATTACATATTTTATAACGATTATTCGTATAAATTATACATATAAAATTATCTCTTCCATCAGTTTTCACTTATCTCTCAAGATTCATTTATATGACCATATAATTTGTTTATAAGAAAAATAAGATAATATCAGCGAAAGAAATGCAAACAAAGTATAAAGTGTAGTTATTATAACGGGACAACGTAACATTACATAATAATACCTATCAAGCTTAATTATTTAATTGGATTTTAATCTCATCAATATAGACCAACTCTAATCATTTCATGAAATTATTTTAGCTATGATCGTGCATACCACATCGAAGATAACCTTCTAAACCATTCAATTATTATTAATTCTCTCATTTATCATAGAGATATCTTTTAAAAGATAATGCCAAAGGAATTTACAAGAAATCTTTAGATTCAAAGGAAATCAAACATTTATCATTGCTGATTTATCCAAATTTTCTTATAACAATGTTATTAATATCTACAATTTAATCATAACGAGGAAATATTTCAAATTGAGAGAAAAACGATACATACATCTTCGTTATACATTTACTGAATTCTTGTTTTATAGGGTCTATCAATTGTATTTGTCCTGTAGAAAATCCTACTAATAATGGTGCACTATCTGCCGTCGCTGTAGTTTGATTAAAATTGTGGCAAGTCGGATTAGTTCCTTTATATGTTTTCTTTTCCACGGGATTGTTCAAATCCACAGCCTGAAACATTGAACTTTGCATCAATTTACTTTGAGCTTATCAGGAGACAATATCAAACAACAGAATATAAAAACATTTCTTTTATAAACAATTAATTCGATGGGACAATATCAAAAGGGATAGAGATGAGTTTGAGATTCATAGAATGTATAGTCAAACTCTATACTTCAAACATGAGAAACAATGTAAATTGCAAATGAAAAATCTACTTAGGCATATATTTGTCTTGGTTAGGTGTTTCATTGAGCTGGGAAAAAAAAGAAAAGAAAAGAGAAAATGCAAAGTTGTGAACGGTAGATAAGTGACCATAAAGAAGGCGATATTAAAGATTAAACGTTGAAACGTTTTTAAGGCACGAAGACGTCGAGCAAATCGTTTGGTTCGGTTATTACTCATATAGATCGACGTATCATCGAAGGAGGAAGTGAACGAGGAGGACGAGGAGGAGGAGGAGGAGAAGAAGGAAGAGGAGGAGAAGAAGGAAGAGGAGGAGAAAATGCGAAAACACGTAAGAAGATTAAAACGTAGGAAAATGATAATAATAATAGAAAAGAAAAAAGAGAGAAGAAATAAAAAAGAATGAAAAACGAAATAACCTAGAAGATGAAGGCAGGAGTGTGTCGGCGAGATTACTTTGCGACTCTCGTACCAAATAGACATTTTCGAGGTTAGGTCGGAACGATCTCTTGTCTGCGTTTGATCCTCAATCGAGAAAAGTTATCGTGGATATTGAAGGAGGACAATAAACAGGACAATAAAATCAATGTTGCAATGAGGGAGGGGGGAGAGGAACGGCTTACCTTTTTGACACCACGATAAACGTAGACATAGAGCTCCTTTCCGAAATTAAAACACATTCGGTCGTCGTGTTCTTGCGTTCCCGAGGGATTTGAAGAATCTGGCAATGTGACGAAGGATACCCTGACGGACGCACTCCCTTGGCTGTTGGTGTAGCCGACCCTGTTCGGCCTCGAGTATTCCGACAAGGTCATCAGCTTGTACGTTCCTTCCCGCGTGGCGAATTGTGTTTTCAAGACCTCCTTCCCTCCTCCGTCCAGCTGCACAGCCATCTTACCACCAACGGTACGACGGAGGAGCTCATCAGACACAGGGAAGAAGCGTTCCTCGGTTTTTCTTCCTTTGGTCCCACGCGACGTCCAGCGACGTCCGTCGCGACGGTCTGCCTCCTCTCCTTCCTTCTATACTTGCTTATCCACTCCCCCTTCGCACCTCCTCGCTCCTTCTTCTTATACACTTTACTCCTTATTCCTGATGCATATAGCACACCTCCTGTACTTGGGGTGTCAGCCCCGTCGACACTGTAGACACGTTTTTCGAAGCTCCTTTATCACGCACTCTATCTCTTTCTCTCTTTCTCTCTCTCTCTCTCTTTCTCTCTCTCTCTCTCTCTCTATCTATCTATCTCTATCTTTCTCTTTTTCTTTCTCTCTCTCTCTCTCTCTCTCTTTCTCTCTATCTCTATCTCTATCTATCTATCTCTATCTATCTCTATCTCTATCTCTATCTCTCTTTCTCTTTCTCTTTCCTTCCTCCCTTCTTTCTTTTTTGAAAATCCGTCTCTTGAATACACGACTCGCCGGTTGGAAGCCTGCTTCTATGTACATATATGAACACTGCACTAAGGGCGCTCCAGCTACGACTTCTCTACGACGGCGACGACGGCAACGACGGCGACGACGACGACGACGACGACACCATACATAACTGCCTCTCTGCGTTTATGAGCCACAGCTCGCACTTCAACCCCGTATCAAAGTGACCAAGTGCCACCGAACTAACCTCCCCGATTATGTATTTATCTTTATCGTATAATATTTTTTCAATTTTCTCCGATATGAATGATGAAAGATCGTTCATCGAGAAAAGATATCTTTCAACGAATATTATAGTTAAAGAAACAAGAGAGAGAGAGAGAGAGAGAGAGAGAGAGAGAGAGAGAGAGAGAGAGAGAGAGAGAGAGAGAGAGAGAGAGAGAGAGAGAGAGAGAGAGAGAGAGAGAGAGAGAGAGAGAGAGAGAGAGAGAGAGAGAGAGAGAGAGAGAGAGAGAGAGAGAGAGAGAGAGAGAGAGAGAGAGAGAGAGAGAGAGAGAGAGAGAGAGAGAGAGAAAGAGAAGAGAAAAGAAGAAAAAAGAAACAATTGTTACAATTTTCCTTTTGAATACTTTGATAGATAAACTATATTGTGTAGCGGCGCTACCTCCGAGAATCTAGCCGCTACCCGCTCGTCTACTATTCACAATATTTCGTTTCTCGTGTCAATGCTTTCATTCATAAAATCAGCGTTCATTCTTTTTGCGCTACGATTACTTATACGTATTGAATTTCACGAGAAATTATCAATTTCGAAAGATCACATAGTCCAATTCCTTCGTCGATCGTTTACGTCTTACTTTCTAATTTTTCTTAGTTTAATGAATGTTTATTATTTCCCTTCAAAATTATTTTTCGAGCGATACATCATACACACATACATACATACACACACACACATATATATATATAGAGAGATGTATCTATGACATATGTAGATAGATTCGCATCGTTTAATCTGAAATTCTTTCTTTTTAATTGTTTCAATTATTCATTGTAGAATTATACGATGTATGTGCGTAAACATCTATTTTATTACTATTGAATAAAAATTTTTGAATATATGTGTTTATGTGTGTGCGTATGTATATTATATACATGTATATTATAAAAAAGAGAAGAGAGAGAGGAGAGAGAGAGAGAGAGAGAGAGAGAGAGAGAGAGAGAGAGAGAGAGAACGATACTACACATTTTTTTTCTCTTCTTTTCAATAATAATCACACCAATAAATTAAGACAATTTTCCTTATAGATTTTATCTTTATCTCAGATTAATCTATAATCGTACATTACGAAAGCGATTCCATTGCATCAGCAACAGCATCGTCATCTTCTTTGGCAGCTGTTGAACATTAAAAGAAGATAGATAGATAGAGAGATAGAGAGAGAGAGAGAGAGAGAGAGAGAGAGAGAGAGAGAGAGAGAGAGAGAGAGAGAGAGAGAGAAACTACAGATGATAGTCGGTTTAGGAGCGTATCTTTTCATATAGTTACCATCTATTATCGTTTCGATGACTTTCACTGATTCTGAATCATTCGTAACCCGATTTATACGTTACTGGTGGCGCCTTGGTAATATTAAATGCGCGCGCAACACCATCGTCCGTTTGTCAGTCTCCAGAACTGAAAGCTTTTCAGCCCTATCCAGGAAGCGGATATTTTGTAAACAAACGACACCGAAGGATTAATTAATTTCACCGTTCTTTCCTGTTGCCACCCCCTCCCCTCTCCTCCGACTGCACCCCCACCCAACCTATCTCCTTCCTTCGCCGTAACCTCTAACCCTGTCTCATGACATTCATTAACATTCTAACTTATCTTTCTTTCCTCTTTACATTCGCTGTTTACCTATTAATTATTACCAACCTGTTTTTTCACGTGTACTTTAAAATATACGAACTTTTTTTTTTACCTTCTTCATTTCCTCTTCCTCGTACTACGCGTCGTCATTTTATATCTTTATTGTTCTCTCCTCCCCACTCCCGCTTCTCCTTAACTTAAAGAAGCAGAAAAACGAAGAAGAAGAAAACTATAAAATATATCGTTTTTTTTCCTTTCTTTATATTGTTTTTATTGCATTTTTTTTTCTTTTTTTTTTTTTTTAACTACTTGACAACGGTCGTGGAAATATTTTTTCCTTTTTCTTTTTTTTTTATTTTTTTATATTTTTTTTTTTAAGTAATACTGATCATTAAATCGATTAGTTTATTTCTTATTGAGTGATTCACGATCATTGAAGAAATACGCTAGATAAGAGCGACAGAAGGTGGTGAAAAGAAATAGAGGAAAAAACGTTCGACTGCGATAATTTATCTCTCTTGTATAATACGCTGTCTCTCTCTCTCTCTCTCTCTCTCTCTCTCTTTCCTCGATCACGCGGTCAAATTAGAATTATGCGCCGAGAGAAGGCTGCCTTTAAATGCAACTTCCGCTTTCTAAATGATGATCAACTTCCGTGACGGTAGTTACTCTTATTATCGATAAAAAGTCAAATGGCGGCTGCATAGGAGATCGAGTCTGCTTAGATGATCATTTTAATACGTTAGGGGAGATCAATAATATTTTGATCTAAAGTTCCTGATGATCGTGAATGATCTATTATCGTGAATTATACTTCGTTGATCCCAATAAATTAAAACCACCCTCCCCTCTCCTCTCACTCTTGTAAAAAAAATATCGAGGAACAAAAAAAAAAGAAGAAGCAAAAGAAAAAACATTACTTAATTTTAATGAAAGTTAACGACAGCTAACTTCTAATGATACTACTGATACTACAAAAGCAACAACAATAACAATAACGATAATAATAATAACAATTATTGTTACTATTGCTATTATAACAACGGCAGTAAGAAGAAAAACAGTAATTAAATTGATAATATAATTAATAGTATATTAATCGAAATGTTTTCGATAAAACGAATCGTTTCTCAGCTCTAAACGATACGATTAGAATCACGAAAATAGTAATGCTCGTATGACACAAGCAGACGTACGATATTATATACGTGTGTATATACACACAAACACATAAACACACACGCACACGCACATGAACGCACATAAACACACACACACACATACCACATATGCATGTGTACAAATGATCATGGTCACGATGCCATGAGCTATAAGAAAGAGAATAGATTAGAATGAATGTGTCTTTGTAAAAGAACGTATTAGCCAAAGCAAAAACCGAAGTGTCTTCTTATCGTGAAGGTATCGCGTTCGCTGGCTACCGACTTTGTATGCTTTTAAAACGTAGATAACATTTTTTTCTTTTACCTTTTTTCTTTTCCTCTTTTTTCTTCTTCTTTTTTTTCTTTTTTTTTTTCTTTTTTTGAATACATCGTACTTTTTCGAAAACTTGTTGACAATTTCTTAATTAATCTTAATTAATATTATGTCTTATGTTTTCTTATCGATCAATCATACGATTATTAATCGTACGAACTCTGCGTCATTTTCTTCCACCTTTGCCGCGCCGCGTTAATCTATAAATCAAGATATAAAATTTTCTTTTTCTCTTTCTTTTTATTTATCCTACGTCAAAGATTTCGAATGATTCTCGATCACCATTCGAAAATTGAAATCTAATGTAAATATATTAACAAATTGATAAGAGCTCTACCCTATTTCTAAATAGAACGATCGAGATTATATCTATGTAAAATTTCCATTAGATAGTAAAAGTATATTTACTACGACGGAATAACCAAACGTTGTAAGTATCTGCGTTTTATTGCAATCGAGGTTAACGTGCATTAGAGAGGAGAAATACATTTTATAATCGTTCCGCTTTATGTGATATGAAATCTGACTAGGATAAAAGAACGTCATCTTTTAGAACTAAGTCGAACCATTTAGTTATTTCTAGCGAGGACACGAACCCTTTTTCATCGACTTCTTTTTTATATCCTTCCCCTCCCCCCCACCACCCACTTACCCTTCATTTTCGTTTATTCTCTTATCTTTGTTTTAATCATTATAAATTAAATTCTAATTTAATTGTAAAACAATTTCAATGTTTAATCATATCGATGAATTTCTATCGATTATATTGAATATTCTCCAAGTCGAAATTATTAAAAAGTATATTTTGTTATTGATAATATTTGGAACGAAAAAAAATATAAACATATATATATATATAATATATATATATAAACGCATAGAAGCGTCACGCGAAGATAATATTTCGTAAAAAATAATGTAGAAAAATTTAATAATTAGATTAATTATCTAATGGATATATTCATTCGTTCGCAATATTATATAATTAATATTTTATAATAATTAACTTTTGTTCATTTATAATTTTTATATAAAAATTTCCAACGGTAGATATCATATATATTTTAATTTCGTCGACGATTGAAAGATGGCAATGCTTTCACCCCCCGTTAAGAATACATTGAGGATTTATCTTTCAAATGTAATATACTATTTACTGTATAACTTATTGTTGGATTAAAATTTATATGATACGTATTAATCGTCGAGATAAGACACATGACAGATATTTAATTGGTAAATTTATTGCTTCGATTTGTTTCGGAATAAAAAATATATATATATATATATTTTTTTTTTTTGTCTTACTAACCTCACAATCAGTCGTAATTCCTGGCTTGACCCATACGTACGTATATAAATAACCTAATCTACGTTGTGTGTGTATATACATATATATACATATGTATTTATATAAACATATATAAATATAGGTAAACATATATACATACATAGATTCATATTGTTATTTTTATTACCGTTTGGAATTTTCCCTAATTTTATTTTCCTTTGTTATTAATAATTAATGACTGGAATTATTTTATTGTCTGTCATTATTCATTTTGAACAAATATATATATATATATATATATATATACTCATGATGGATTGGAATTATATTGCATTGTTCAATTTTTTATTAAATATTTTGTAATAAAATTAAAGTCTACTGAAATCCAAACGGTATGAAAATTCAGACGGGAATCTTGGACAATTGCCTGGGAGATGTAATATTCGATGTAAGAAATATTATACATGTTTTCTATTCAACATATATATACGCGTATTACGTGTCCTATATAAACATAAGCGAATATACAGTTTCTTTATTTTTAAATTTTTTGTTTATTCTGATATTTTGTTTGTTTGTTTTTTTTTTTTTTATTATTATAATAAATCTAATAATAAATATCTAATAAAATTATATATTAATTATTATCATCATTATATATTAATATAACAATCTAATAAATCTCTCTCTCTCTCTCTTTTTCTAAAATTGATATAGATCTTTTTTTTTTTCC